ATTCCCAGCACTTAGAATGACCTAGATCGGAAGCTGGCAAGAATCCTAGATCTGCTACAACCCTGTTCACCCTCCACCTTGTTGTCTTAAGAAGTTATTCTTATATGGAATTGATAGTTATTTTTAGCTCAGCACTCAATGTAGTTTTATCTAAGAAAAAAAAATAACATGGAAATTTCAGACCCATCTGTGGCGCTGGGGTGCAGGGCTTGACTGTCTCTCTGTCCCAGGCCAACAGCTGGCATCTCTTAATGCTTAGAACTATGGTCCCTCATTAGAAAAGCAAAGATACTAAATAACTTCCTCGCAATACTGTTGTGGAGATCAAACACCATTAGCCTGTGAGTAACACAAGGGCATAGATTTATGTTATTAATCTTCACATTCTCACAGTCTAGCAAAGTCTTTAATAACAGCCACTGAATGGGCAAATGAATGTATAAATGGCAGAAGCTGTAAGCACCGTAATGCCACATAAATTAGGGCATGGGTCATCCAACTTTTACTTACTATGATGATTTGTTGACTTTCCAGGTGCTTGACTCTCGTGGCTTTCATTCCTAACTTAAGTTGGAAGAAGACTGAGCTACATTCTCCACAAGGCTCCTTCTAGGCTTGGGAATCTTGGATACTGTTACATTGTGTTTGTCTTTGAATTTGCCATCATATAATTAGCCAGCCTGAATTCTTATTTTTCAGCTTTTCGCTTTGAAATCATTGTAGATTAGAAAATGACTCATGTCTGCCCTCACCCAGCTTCTGCCATGCTACCCCCATAACTCCAAGAGGTTTCTAAACACCAAGAAATGACATTAGCAGAACCCTAAATTCTAGAAATTATTGTGATTTTACCAGTTTTCCTATTAATGTCCTTTTATTGGTCTAGGATCAAGCCAGGATATTATTTAACATTTAGTCCTTATGCCTTTTGAAACAAAGAGTTTATTATGAAATATTTTAGTTTACGGAAACGTTAAAATCATAGGAGAATGTAAATCTAATAATGAGTTCGTCTTGTGGTTACGATGTGAGTCAGCCATGCTCTGTACATGTTTCAGAGATTCTTAGGGAAGTTTAAAAGGCCGCCAAGCATAAGCCAAAATGAAATGTTGGACTCTGTCTTGTAAATGTGGAAATAACAGAAATCAAAGACATAAGCAAAATGGTTTTCCCTGTGGGAACATCTTCCTTGACAGTAACAGAGATACTGGTTGGGATTTGGGCTTCCTCAAGCACAATTAGACTGATTTGGCTTTTCTGTAAGTATGTATTGTGGGCTGGTTATGTGCTAGCATTATTCTAGGAACTGGCCACACAGTAGTGAACGAGACAAAGTTCACAAAGCTTATATGAAATGAGGGATACAAATAATAAGGAAACACAGATCTAGCAGTAGGTCTATTCAGAAAATAGCAAGTTGAGGGTATAGAGGAGGAAAGACATGGATTTAAAAGAAGTGAGCACTGTGCCCTTTGAAATACTAAGAACTACAGATTGGGACACTGGTCTGCACTGCCCAGCACATAGCGGATTGTGGAAAACAAAGCTCCTGGGCGGCATGTCTAGTTTTAGACTTACATTGATGATGACATAGCTCTGTGGAATAGTTCTCCTTTCTTCTCCTTCCAGTTATGTGAGTTGTCATTAATTAATTATAAAAATTCAGCTCTAATAAAAATAGGTGATTTAAAATGTCTTTGCAGATTCTCTGAAGTACAGGGAGTAGAAATGGTACAAATATATAGAACATTCTTCCTCCAAATACAGACTTCACAAAAACGCGGTTAGCCCAATATGCATTTCGTCAAATTCCACATTCACTAAATCCTTATTGACTGCCCTCAAACAAGACATTAACGTGCCAACTGTACAGCTGGGAGGTGTGAAGAGTCCTAGCTCGGAAAACCTTCCACCACAAGGCAGTTCAGACTCACTACAACTTGAAATTTCATCTAGCTCCTCACAAGACTTGTGTGTCCCACAGTGTTTGCTAATCACAGTGAGAGGAATCCCCTGAGAACACTGCAGTCCTGCCTCCGGGAAGGCACACATACTCACGAGGGACCAGTTAAGGCCTCCTGGAGGTATCACCCAGCTTTAGGATGCTTTATTCAAAACCGTGGTTTTCAGCACAGACACAGTGAGTAATAGCACTCATTAGCAAGTTTTCTTCAGCAGATCCTATGTATGGTCAAGCTTATGTTTGTCCCTCCCACCTCCTAAAACAAACCTGAAAGCTAATTTACTTACACAAGACAGCCAAATTGCAGAAAACTCATCGAGAACTCTTCCCCAGAGCAGATGAAAAGTCTGCAGCCAGTCTGGGGAGACGTAATTCCCCCCCAGCCTATGAACAATTTCTTTCCTTCCAGATTTTTCACTGAGACTGGAGTCTAAACACAAAATTATAATTGCCTAGGAAAAAAATGCCTGGGGAGTAATTGGTGCCAGCTCTGGGGCAGCTGGGTCCAGGGGTGAAAAGATGTTTGCATGTCCATGACTTTCTAGCCTGGGATTGGGAGAGATGCGGAGAAGAAAACAATGGAGGGTGAAAGGAACGCAGCAAAGATATTAGATTCTGTACATCAAAAATGCAGAGGAAGGAGAGGGGAGAGGGAGAAAGACATCTCACCTGTCAATTTCACACTAATCTCCCATGGGCCAACTCTCCCCCAACAATCACTTTTCCTTCTTTCTTTCTTTCTTTCTTTCTTTCTTTCTTTCTTTCTTTCTTTCTTTCTTTCTTTCTTTCTTTCTTTCTTTCTTTCTT